CCCGTTGCGGAGCACAGGCTCTGAACGCGCAGGCTCAGCAGCCATGGCTCACGGGCCCAGCTGCTCCGCGGCATGTGGGATCTTCCCAGACCGGGGCACAAACCCGTGTCCCCTGCATCAGCAGGCGGACTCTCAACCACTGCGCCACCAGGGAAGCCCTGCCTTCTTACTCTTTTGGTTGGAAAGCAAGCCTAAAAAGATGCCAATAAGCAACTGTGACTGTTCTATGATACCTAGAGGGGAGACCACGCTCAGCAGCTCACAGGTCTGTTAGGAGAGACACGGTACAGATCCGGCCATGGTCACAAGGTGATTACACATGTGAGCAATTTATCAGTTACAAAAAGAAAAGAAAATCCCCAGAACTGTTCCTTAGCCTCTGACCACAGTCCTAAGCCCAGCCGGACGTGGTCAAAATGTGCTCTTGGGCATAATAAGGTCAAGGAGAGAGACTGGCTACATCAATGATAGATACGCCAAAGCCACCAATGATAGGTGGCCAATGATAGGTGCCAAAGCCACCTCCAAACACCCCCGCTGATGGGCAAACCAGCTCCACAGAACCACGTGGTGTGTAAAGGATGACGCTTGTTTCCTCCCAAAGTGTAAGAACAAGATTACACACCAAGCATGCAGTGTGGTAAGCTAGGCAGTCTGAATATCTTGTTTTCTGGTTTTTATATCCCAGTTTCTTATTCCACCAGAAAGACTTGGAGAAAAAAAAAAAAGAAAGTAAACCCAAAGGTGATAATTCAGTTTTGTCCCCCAAGCACTGAAGGTCGTCCAGATCTCAGCAATGAGGTTAAGGGTACAAGGGCAGCATGTGTTATGTGGGAGGTCAAAACATGTAAAGTGCTTGGAACAACAGAGCAAGCATTTAATACATGTGAGCTGCTATTATAACCTACTACATTCATCTAATTATACAAACACAACATTCTCCCTGTTTGGAAAATTAAGGAGAGGGCTAGAAATGCTAGCGAGAGGTTTCCTTCCCAGAAGCATGACGTTTTAACCATGGGCCTGCAGACCAATGTGTAGCTCAGGGACACACACACTAGCTGACTCCATTTCCTCAGCTCATCAGTTCCAAAAATGCCTATGCACTAACCCCCGAACTAGCCACGGTCTCATACCTGTCTGCGGACCTGTCCAAGGATTGGCAGCTTCCTGACAAGGAATTTTCAGCACTGCTCAGGGGATCCAGCATCTGCAAGGCAAGTCATACAATAAAACCCCAGCCCCAATCCCAGCCAGGTGACCCAGCCACGGCCAGCAAATGGTCCTTCTTCTTTTCCAAAATATGAAAGTGCCCTTTCTCCGCCAGGGCAGTGGGAAGAATGGTTAGGAAGGTACCATTCTCCCCCGCAGTCTGAAAGGCAAGTTTCCAGGAGTGAGAAAAATGCCTGGCTGGCATCCCAAGGAGCTCTGCCAGGAGAGCAAAGCAGAGATGCTGCTTCTCTTGTTGACATTTTCTTGGCTTGTGAATTCTGGAGCCTGGTGCTGGAGATGGTCCTACCCTGCAGAGGCTTCCAGTGCATTTGGGTGGGACCATAATGCTTCTGTTTACACTCCACAATTTATAATTTAAAATTCATAATTTTATTGCCCTCATTTCACAGACAAGCCACTGCAGGTCTAGAAAGGTTAGGAGAATTGTCTGAAGTCATGAAACTAGTTAGTACACAGCTGACACAGAACAAAAATTTCCCAGTTCCTGGTTCTCCTGCAGAGCCAGTAAGTATCTATGTAAGTTAAAATGTTTCTCTGGCCCTTGGTCAAATGCAGTAACAAAAAGCCTTCAGATTAGCCTTTTCTCCAACTAATCTCCCCTTCATTTTGCCTATGGGGGGTACTCACTACCAGAGAATTTATTATCTGAGATCCAAAGTTAAACATTACATAGGGAAGCAGAGTATCAGAACCATGAAAATTCATGAACAACTTTAATAAAATTGGTTTCCATCTCAAATTATCTCTTCCCATTTAATGCTGGAGTCCACCTCACCCATACTGTCACTCATATATTGTCATATGTGATTTTTTTTTAAACTGCCAAGCAAGGCAAATTAATTGAAAAGTAAAATCCCCAAAATCTTGATAAGGATATAGGATTTCCCCAAGAGGATAAAACCAACATGGGAAAGAATTGCTCCCAAACTTATTAAAGTGCATATTTGGCAAAGTTAGATCAGATAACAGAAGAAGAGAGAATGAGCAAGTATAACAACATGACAGGTGTGATGAAGGAGGAAGAATACCAAAGGTTCAAGAAAGTCCTGTGGAAAATACACTGAACCCCGTGAAGGCTTCTGTTAAAAGAAAAAAAAAAGGAGCCTCTTTAGGACAGTGCTGCAGAAGTCAAAGAGGAAGTGAAGGAAGTTATGTTGTGCTAGTAAAATTTTTGTTAGAAAAATTAAGCCAAAAAAAAATTAGCCTGAATCATGCTTTGTTCATTCTAAAAATTAGCAAATAGATGCAACTATTACTCAAATCTGATTAAAGAAAGAACAAAATAAAGTTATCTTAGTTTCATTTTTCAAGAAAGTCCCAGCTGGATACTCTTTCACTATATACTATGCTGTTTTGGTCTCTGTTAAGTGGATTTATCTTGAATGGCCCATTAGCAGCAGCAATTCTCTTTAGCTAAAGAGGCGGGCACTGGGGAAGGACCTAGGCATTCTCCTGCTTCCTTGGCCTCTTTCTAAAAGTCTATCCTCACTACAAGTCTAATACTCCCATGCCTTCCAGGGCCAGGCAGGTAAAGAAGTAAAAGGACCAGGATAATAGGACCATGGGAAGGGATAGAGAGCAAAGGCAATCAAACTCATTAGCAAAGTCACCCGTAGTACAGCTGATGTCTGGAAGCACTCTGGTTAGAGAAAATGGAAAGGATGGTCAGTAAGATATCCAAGAAGGGACTCTGCAGCTAAAAGCACTCTAGGTCACTGTTCTAAACATAAATTTATCTGGAAGGCAGGACTGTAGAAGAGAGAAGAGGCAGTTTAAAAATGCTTCTCATAGCCTATATAGTTTGAACAATGCTACACAGAGATTAGCTATTGAGGGGAAAGAAAAGTTGTAAGAATCAGTTTTAGGAAAAAGAAGTTATAAGAATCAGGTTCTTTTGGTAAAATCCTCCATGTGATGATGCTGGCCTTCTACTGGATGCTTTTACCCTTAAGAAATTTCCCCTTTCAAGATCAAATCCCAAAAGTTTATAAGACAGATCTTTTTCTTGCAATCAAAGCAAGCTCATTGAAAAAACTTCAGAATGAAGCCAGAGATCTCATTCTTGCTGAATTCACTAAGCCAAAGTGCCATTTTCATCAAGTGGGCCACAAGTTAAAAAAGCTAGCCATTAAAATGGGTAAGCCATTGTGGTAGACGCACCCTAGGATGTCCCCACTCCACCCCACCCCAGTAAGTCAAAGCCTTGCATATAACCCCCGCCCCTTGAGTACAGGTAGAACTTGTAATTTGCTTCTAGTCAATAGACTATGGCAAAGAGGATGGCTCTTCGTTGCTGCACGCGGGCTTTCTCTAGTTGCAGTGAGCGGGGGCTACCCTTTTGTTGCAGCGTGCGGGCTTCTCACTGCGGTGGCTTCTCTTGCTGCGGAGCACAGGCTCTAGGCGTGTGGGCTTCAGTAGTTGTGGCACATGGGCTCAGTAGTTGTGGCTCCCGGGCTCTAGAGCGCAGGCTCAGTAGCTGTGGCTCACAGGCTTAGTTGCTCCGCGGCATGTGGGATCTTCCCGGACCAGGGCTCAAACCCGAGTCCCCTGCATTGGCAGGTGGATTCTTAAGCACTGCGCCACCAGGGAAGCCTGAGACTTCATCTTTGCAGACCAGAGCGAGAGATTCTTCTGCTGGCCTTGAAGAAGCTACCATATTTTGAGAGGGCCACATGGCAAGGAACTGCAAGTGGCTTCTAGGAGCTCAGAGTGGCCCCTGGCCAACAGCCAGCAAGAAAACAGGAACCACAGTGCTACAACCACAAGAAACTGAATTCTGCCAACCATCATGTGAACCTGGAAGGGAACCCCAAGCTTCAGAAAGGAATGCAGCCTGGCTGACACTTCAGTGAAGCTTTGTGTGACCCTGAGTGGAGAACCCAGCTAAGTCATGCCTGGATTCTGGGCCCAAGGAAACTGTAAAATAATAAATGTCTGCTGTTTTAAGCTGCTAAGTTTGTGGTTGTTTTATTTAGCAATAGATAACTAATACAGCTGTCTACTATCATAAAAGTCCACCCAAAGGAGCCAGTCCTACTTTGGACTGGTATACTCGTTACCTTTCATTAAGAAATAGCAAAAGTAAAATCTGGTTGAAATGCAAAACAAAATCTGTCTGTTTAGGACTGGTCATATGTTAAAACTCTGCTGAAATGACAGGTCGTTGTAAGGAAGCATACAAACAGCGGAGTGGTGTTCTGCAGGGAGACCAGTGAGAGGACCACGGAAGAGGAAAAATCTGTCAAATGCACATCCAGCACCAAGGAGGCTAGGTAGCTTAGATTCTATCTTTGGTAGGAATTGATATTTGGCCCCTAGAAAGGAAAAAGTCATATTTGGGTAGGCCTGGTTTACAAAAAAGCTACTGGATAGGACTCAAGTCCCTCACCTCCACACCATGCCCACTGAGAACTCCCCCTACTAAGCGTGGACTGACACGTCCCAAGACACACCCCAGCCCCAAAACCCCCAGCCCCAGACAATACTCACGCACTGCTCGCTGGTCTCTGGGATGAACTCCCCCTCGCTGTTGATGCTGGTGTAGGACCCCTGTCGGGCAATCCGCTGCTGCCGCTCGGGCACGTAGCCAGGGGGAGGCGAGCTTCGGCCGGGGTTCTGGGAGCCTAGAGCACAAAAACACGACCTTTGACTGCAGAGCCAGGACCTGCAGCCTGAGAGGAGCAGACTTAGGGCCAGCTCAGACCAAGCATCTGCTTGGTGGTGGAGAGCTGGTTTGGCTCTTTGGACATCCTGGAGGAGAGGGAGGGCCTAACAAAGTGCTGAGGTTGAAGGAAACTTCCCGAGCCAGGCAGCTCCTCCCCCTAATCCAAGGACCCCAAGAAGGAAGAAAAATACTTAAGAGAAAAGTTAAAGAATGGTGGGTCGGGTTGCTCTTTGAAAGATAGTCTTTAAGGAGTTTTAAACTATTATTTTCAATGTCCTTCAAGAAACTGACTCCTTCATTCTTCTTCACGAAGTCACTCGATCAGAATACAAGGATCATGCGGTTTGTAGAGACGCTATTTTAATGAATTCGCCACCGAGAGCACTTGGTGCTCCAATCTCTTGTTGGAGGCATTAACCCATACTCTCTCCAAGAACCACTGACACGATCTCAGGTGGGAAGGCTAAGCTGAGGCTCTTGGTAGTCTGGCTTCCCCACTTGACTCGAGGGCAGAGGCCAGAAACCAAACCGCTCTAAAAACAGGCACAGAATTATGCTGGATTTCCACTTGCAACACCTCACTCACAGGGTAGAGGCTACCAATTCTGAGATAAGGAGGTACCTGAACCATGCCTTTCAAATGATCTCAGACAGCCCATGGAGGAAAGAGTCTGTTTGTCCAAGTTTTCTAAGCCCTGGCAGAAACTGATGCTGCTCAGAGTATACATTTAGGGATGCTATGCCATGAACTAACAGAGCAATGAAATCAGCCAAGGCAATTTTTCTTTTGTTTCTCTGCCCCCACCCCCACCCCCCTGGCCACCTGTACAACATGCGGGATCTTAGTTCCCCGACCAGGGATCGAACCCTCGCCCCTGCATTGGAAGCATAGAGTCTTAACCACTAGACCGCCAGGGAAATCCTTCTTTTCTTTTTTATACTGTTACCTTGTCTTTAATTCTCACAACACACCTAGAGCGGAGGTGCATTATTATCATCCACAGTGAGCAGAAGGGGAAGCCAAGGCCCAAAGTCATGTAGTGTCTTAAGGGTGGTGCTGCATCTAGAAAACAGGCCTTGTGACTCCCAGTATATTTCAGCCATATTTGAGACCACAGTTTATTTCCAAAAGGGGCAGCCATGCTACTCATACATTCCCCATCAGCAATCGAAACGGGGCGGGGAGCCCACCCATGGGGAAATGTGACAGCCTTTCTGCAAGGAGCAGGAGGGAGGCAAATATGGGGATTTCTTGACAGCACAAGGGAAACACAGTGCCATGTCTCATGCAGCTCAGATTCAGAGTTGTTCTGTCAGTGATCACTTGTGAGTTGGATGCAAGATGCCATCTGGCCAACAGAGGGCTCGAAGGCAATGACAAGATGAAGGTAAGGGGAAATCGAACAAGAAAGCTACTCCATTTTTCAGAGGGCCAGATGTCAAAGATCCATGCAGCTGGCCATTTCCCTTGCCACTGTAGCACAAAATGCCAGTGTAACCATGAAAAAAAAGATAGTTTTCTTAAGCCCTAGCATGCCCTAAAGCACAGAGCACTTTTTTAACACATGGCTTACAAACATTAGCCCAGTGCCTGCTTCCCACTTCTGGCTTTGGAAAACATTCTAGTTGCCCACAGGTTCTATGGAAATCCAATCCCTACGTTGGCAACATTTGTCAGCAGCAGAAGCGACCTAAAAAGGTGAGCAAGGTATAGTGAGAAAAGCCTAGGCTTGAAAATTAGATAACCAGAGGTTCAAATCAGGCTTTGTCACTTATTAGCTGAATGATTTAAACTCTCACCTAAATTTCCTCATTTCAAAAAGGAAACAACTTATCTACCTCATAACCGTTTTTGGAAATTATAAATGAAATGTGGTAGCACAGGTACACACATACGTGGTAGGAACTCAATAGAATTCCATTCGTTCCCTTCACTCTGTGTAGCAGATATAATGGGTTAGATAGACTCAAGAGCCATTCTACCCTTCTAGTGTACCTTCCAGGACTTCAGAAGTTCATCAGCTAAAAGCTATTCTAAGACCTCCTTTAGGTTCAGCCAGTTAGATGCACTTGTGTGAGATCTGGATGGCTTCCTGCTGTTCCTGGGCACAGTCCTGGAAGCTTTGGTTTTTCTGCTGCAGCACTAGCAGAGACCCCACACCTGATCTCTAGTTTTCCTGATGTCAAGACACAGGTGCAGGTATCCCTGTGTAAGTGGTGTGTGGACAGAGCACAGGGGCCCTGTGCTTCTGGATCCAGTGGCTTCCTCATTACAGAGAGAAGAGGAGCTCTGCAGTGTGTCTTTAGACTTAGAGTCTGTTTCTCACTCTTCATGATTTTACAAGCCAGAATGTGCACCAAATGCCTTCTTCCTGAAACTAGTCAAGAGTGGATTCTGTTCTGTGTAACTGAACCCTGACCAATACATTCCAGAGCGAAAAGGTATTACATATTTGACCTACAACAAACAAAAAATGTCTCTTGTGAGGAACTGATGAGAGAGAAAGAAAAACTCTTACGTATTGCTGAAATCCCACACACTAGCCCAAACTACCCCCAGGTAGGCTGAACTACCTTCGATCTGAGCATCAGAGCATCTAGGGTGAGACCTCCCCGGCACAAAAGATCCCTGGCCCCTCAACACCCATTCTCTCCTTCACTGCTGCCACTGAACTCTCCCCTGGTTTTGCAGGTGGGATGGGACTAGCTCACATGAGGCCAGCACTACAGACCCAGGAGGGGCTGGGGGAAAACGGCAAAGGTTTTCTGAGCTTTTATTTCCAGCCAGAGACTTTCACTTTTTCCAATACACATTGCTGCCTGCCGAGAGCCAGCCTTGTTATCTGATGGGCAATGGGCCAGGGGCTATTGTGCACAGGCCCACAGCTTGGGGCAGGAAAGGGAAGTCTCCCCAAACCAATGGCTATCAGAGGAAGCGAATGGAAAAACCAGGAGTTGGCAGAACTGCTCCAGAACATTTTCAGTTTTGTTTTTATCTTCATTTCAGAAATTAGGGGCTAATGAGACACACAACAGTATCTGAGAACGAGTGAGACAGGGACCTGAATAGGACAGGATACTGAACTGTAAGACTCACTGATCCTCACATATTTACCAGCAGGGACAACAGTGAGCCAGACAGCACAAACACAGTGCTATGCAAGACACAGCTCATCCTAGGTCTCAGAAGGCAGGCAGCTTCTCTGGGCCACCCTTCCCTGGCATTCCAGCCTGATCTTGCTCTAGTCTCATCAGGGCACTTATACCAAGGGGCCCCCTCTCAGCACCAGCTGAAGTAAAAGAACAGAGTAGCAATCCTGTGCTCAGAAGGCTCTCTTCTGAACAAGGATTTCAGCTGCCAGCTGTCTGCATTCCTCTAGAGTTTACTGGCTCTCTGCTTACCTCCTTGATCTGGGGCAGCAAAACCCTTACCCTAGGATATGGTTGACTCTTTTGCTCTGTCTTCTGACTCAAAGGTGAAAGCTAGGTTCTCAGACTCTAGCCCTTCTCATAGGAGACTCCTGTCAGGAAGCTGATGCAGTCAGGAAGTTGCCTCCACAGGGAGTTAGTTCTAGGGCTTTGGGTCAGTGTTAATGTGCAGGTCATTGCAAGTACAAAGAGAGAGCTTTTTTTGGCCATCGACTATTTTCTCTAAACCTTGTTCTCTCTTAGGGAGCTGATGAGGGGAAGAATCAAATCTTTTTTTCTTCTTCAATATCCTCGCACTGGACCAGGTTGTGCAGAGCAGAGCTCTGCAATATTTTCATCTCATAAGACCTTGAGAACATCCTGTGTTTCAACTTTCAAAACTCGCATTTTATTTTGAAGTTGTGATCACCACTAAACAGTTTCTGGTCTCATCTAGTATCACAGAAGAATTTTTAGCAAGAAGGAGAAAAAAACCTGTGCAGTGAAGGAAGCTGACCTTTTTGTCTCCATGTATGTGGTCACTACCTCTGCAGTCCTGGTTTCCACTCTTGCATATCTTACCAGGACTGGAGGTGTGCACTGTGTATAGCTCTCTAACTTGTTACTGCCCAGGTGTCACTGTAAGTCATCTCATCCTTTCAACATTCCTTTTCCCTCTGCCTGAGTTTTTCCTCCTCTGTTCTCAGAGGAAGAGGGCTGCCCTCCTCCTTACCAAGGCACTATAAGCCCTCTGCCTGGACTCCCCAGTTCACGCCCCAGCAGGAGTCAGCTCCCCTATGGTCCCCTCTTCACCACCTTCAATCTCCTTTTCAGCTGTCTTTGTGCCTCCCTTCATAAACATGCTCAGAACTCTAGCCTAAAAAATATCCTGACCTTATTTCTGCCACTCCCTTAAGCCACTAGCCCACCTCTTTTTTTCTTTTATGGCCAACCCCCTTGAAAGAACTGATTGCCTCTACTCATCAGCTACCCATTCCTTAGTGGGGCAATCTGGCATGCCCCACTGTGGGACGCAGTGGCAGGACGAGGAGCGAGATGGAATAAGAACAGAGATGAAGGACTTAAGATACACTAGACCAAATGGGAGCCAGATGTGGCAGGGACAAGTCCTTTAGTTGATGGCTTAAGGGCACCACCCACTGCATTGTGGAAGAAATAGTGCTTGAGCTCAGCTTCAAAGGTGATAGAATTTCTACAGGCAAAACACAAGGAAGGGTAAATTCACGTAGGGAAATTCCATTTGCCTTGTCTGCAGATCTTCCCACAGGGGTCTCTCTTTTGGGTTAACACATTCCCTAGTAGTTTTTTAAAATTTATTTATTTATTATTTTATTTTATTTTTAGCAGACTAACTGGCTTGAAAAAAACCTGGAATTCAAGGTATGTATATTATGATGGAAAAAACAAAAGGTGAACAGGATAGCTGGTTTCAAATATCTGAAAAACTGTCATATGAAAGATGTTATCTGTGTTGCTCAAGAGAGCAGTACTAGAGTCAATGCGTAAAGTGACAGAAGGCAGAATTTCAATTCAAAATAAGGATGAACGTCGAACAAAGAGAGCTGTCTAAAATTGGGTTGGGCTTCCTTGCACTTCCTCATTACTGAAAATGTTGCAGTGGGAGCTGAATGACCTGCATGTTTAGTCTTTCACTCATACGCACTGGTAGCACAGGTACATTAATGCTGGTGGAGGAGGAGGGCAGAGAAGCCCCCTCCTGTAGGTGGGGGGTTGACTCACTAAGGCTTCTCGTTTAACCCCATTTGTACAGCTAGGACTTCTCCTAGTCCCTCATCCTTAAACCTTGACTTCTCTCTTTCTGTTTCCTTCTAGAAGGCCTTCCAGAAGGCCTTACCCTGTACCAGCACAGCAAGCACTCAGACATTTGTGGATGAAAATGACAAGTTTGTGTCTCTTACTCTTAGTCTGTCCTTTCCAACCTGGCTGGTACCATGTAACGTCTTCTTCCCACCTTCTCTTACTTCCCTCCTACTTCTCTGGTCACTCCTTTCCTGCGTCCTTTGCAGGCTCATCCTCCTCTAATTGGCCACTGTCTGGGTTTCTAAGGCTCAATCCTAGGCCCTCTTCTCTTCTCATTCTGTAGTCTGTTTAGAAACTCTCATCTGGGCCCATGGCTTCGACTTGACAATTTCCAATTGTTTCTACCTCTGGTTTTCTCCCCTCTGAGCTAGAGATCTGTATAGTTAGCTGTTCATCTGCTATCACCTCTTGGCTGTCTCTCTCTTTTTTTTAAAAAAAAACACAAATATGTTTATTGGTGAATCGATAATCATACCAAAATATCCATAATTATACCAATTCAACCTAAAACTTAAGGTCTGCCCTTCGCAGTGCCTGAAACCAGGCTCTCTTCTAGTCTCTGTCTTGGTGAAAGGCACTGCCAATTACCCAAATCCACAAACCAGTAACTTACGTCCTGCTCTCTCAACACCTGAAAATCCAATCCAATACCACAGTGGTTCGTAAACCTTTTGAACTTAGAACGCTTTTCCACTTCTAAAATTTGGGACACCAAAGAGCTTTTATTTATGGGGGTTATATCAATTGATATTTACTGTATTAGAAATAAGGGTCAAAAAAATTTAAAACACAATAATACACAAGTACACATTCCATTAGCCATAGAGGAATGACATTACCTCAGGCAGATAACCTCTGGAAAATTCCACTATATATATGTGAGAGCCAAATCATGTCTTAGTATTATTATGAAAATAGTTTTGATCTTCCAGATCCTAAAAGGATCTCAGGGACCGCCCCCCCCCGCCGCATGTCCCTAGACCATGATGCCATGTCCTGTTGGCTTTACCTTCTAAATGCCTCAAATCCACCTGTTCCTTCCTCTCTCCACTACCCTCACTAGCCTAATCCATGCTTCTGTCTTCTTTCACCTGGACCACTGCATTAACTAATACGGTTCTCCCTTGGACCCATGCTTGCCCCCCTGTGATCGGCTCTCCACACTGTATGCAGCTGGAGCGATCTTTTCAAAATACAAATCCGAATATGCCACCCATTCCTCTTCACTGAAAAATCCTAAGGTGTATTTTCACTGCTTTCAACGTAAGGATCAAAATCTTCATCACGGTCCCCAAGGCTCGGCCTCCCTCCCCAGCCTCAGCCATCCTCCTTTCCCTTGTTCTCAGCTCTCCAGCCCTCAGGGCTTCCTTCTGTTTCTCAAACACACCACACTCCCTCTACCATGAGGCCTCTGCATGGGTAGCTCTCCTGCCTGGAGCTCTCCTCCCTATATCCCCTTTGAGTAAGTCCCCCTCAAGCTCTGGGTCACAGCCTACGGCTTCTCTGGCCCAGAAATCAGGTCACATCCTTCTGCTATACGTGCTCACAGCACCACACACCTTCTGGTCGCAGCCTGTAATTATAGATGAATCACATCATGACACGTAAGGTCTGACTTCCCACAGGTGTACAAGGGCCATAGGGACAGGAACTGTGTGTTTTTGCTTCCCATGATTCTGGCACACAGCAGATATTCTGGCAATTATTTCTTGAATGAATAAATGAACAGATGAGTAAAAATGCAGTTTGACAGGGAGAGGGATACAATAACAAGACAATGTGATAAGCATTAGAATGGAGATGGGTACAAGGGGTCACTGTTCCCAGTGGCTTTCCGCTGCCCACCGAACAAGGCCACGTGCAGTCAAGGGTCCCCAGACAAGGCAGGCATTCTTTCCCAGCCTTCTCTACTTCTCCAAATATCAACGCACGAGCCAGTCTGAAGGATACGTGGGATCTCCACCATCAAATCACTGAAATGCCCTCTCCCCTCATCCTTGCTTATGGAAATCCTCCATAATCTCTAAAAATCCCAGAATGCATTTCCCAGGTCATTCCAGTTAGAAATAATCTCTGCCATTTTCCAGCTTTTAGAAAGGCTGCCAGGCTCTGCCCACTTCTCTCGTCAAACCCACCACTCCAAACCACCTGGGGTTCTCAGAAGCCACCACCTTCTTCTGTGATCGTGCCTGGCAGATGCCCTTTTCTGTGCCCGGAGTATCTGTCCCTGCGCTCAGTAAATCTTCCTTAGTTTGTCAGCTCTGATGTTCCCTCTCTTTAGTGAAACCTTTCCCCAAAGTCCTGGGCGCCGTTGGTTACTGCCTGCTCTGTGCTCCCGTACCACCCTCAGCCTCCCAGATGCCTCCACCATGGCACTCATGCCAGCCCAAAGGCTGGTGCCTAATGCTTGCTGACTGAAGGAACCCAGGACCTGCATGTGCTGGGAGGCTGCGTTGCCCATTCTCTAGATAGATAGGAACTCGTTCATAGAAATCTTAATCCCAGTAAGATTTTAGCACTCTCAGACAAGGAAATTCCATATACGGCCCCTACAGTGAGGGCCCAGCATGTAGCTTCCACACACAAGTCACAGGAAATTGCTTAGGAGGCGGAGGCCCAATCACTGCCCTGTGTCCATCCTCACAGCTTACTCCGCAAAGGAGCAATGCTGCCCTCCTCCAGCCCCTTGCTCTCTACAAGGGCTCTGGAACAGAGGCCAAACTAGCAGAGATTCCCAGGTTCCAGGGCACCTGGATTTTTGGGCCAGAGATACTCTAGATAAGGTTTCCTTGTTGGGGTGCTGGCTCTCTCCTCAACCAGCTTATTGAAAACGCAGCCACCAATTATCCACAATGTTAGGGAAATATGAAACACATATACAGACTTTCAGCTTGGCAACACTTACTACCAGTGCTTGCTAGGGTTCCAGAAATTACTCAGTGAGGCAAAGTCAGTGCCTCAGCAACACATTCTTCCGGCTGCCCCCCAGGAGGCTTTTCACTCCCAGACAAGCTCAGTGACAGGGCTGATGCTCAGACCTCCCCAAGTTCAGCTCAAGATCTCCAGAGAGCAGTTCAGTTTGATGCAATTCTACCTGTATGGATAGAACCTGTATGGACAGCAGCAGGGGTCTCAGCAACGTTAGGGCAGCAACCTCAACAGAAATATTGTTAAGGCCGGACTTCCCTCTTGAAACAAACTGCACAATTCAAGAAATGAGCTTTCTCCTCAGACTGTGGGAAATGGGATCCAGAGCAAAATTGGATTGCCTGGTATAATGCACAGCCCTGATTTAGATTCCTTTCCTGGGGAGGCCTGTCAGCAGCTACAGAGCTTTCTTCCTAATGAGCCAACTGTATTTACTACGTCAACAGTCTCCTGTCCTTCCCAGACAACTTAGTTTGACTCTCCAGGAGTTTCACTGGAGAAACTTTGTTCCATCTTCCTTGAAGCATTAGGACTCCTCAGGAATCACAAGCAAGAGGTTTGATGTCAAAACTCAATCTTGGACCTGATTCGTAACTTCACAAGTCCCCAGTCCTTTGGGCAAAGAATGGTCAAAAATGAGGGTATATTGCTGCTAGAGGTCTTCAAGCAGATGTTTGAGGAGATCACTTTTTCAGGGCTGTTGAAAAGGAATTTGATTTTGCCACCACATCATGAGAGTGTAAGCTCCTGGAGGGTCAGGACTCCATCCCAGTCACTTGTCTATTTCTTCTCCCCAAAGAAAAGCATGGAAGATTATTCTGAACAGCGTAGCAGTCAATAACGTTTAATGACTGTTTTTTTAAATAATTTTTAAAAAGAATATTAAAAAAAATACATGGGCAGATAAATTAGGTGAGAGGAAAAAAGGGGTGAGATACTCACTGACAGAGAGGTGCCTGCTCCTGGGTTCAGGGGGCTGGTAGATGGTATTTATGTCTCCCGCAGACTGGGAAGCTTTGATTCGCACCTGCCTGGACACCCCGGAGTGGGGAGGGGAACTGGTCTGCAAGATAAGAGGAAAAAGGCTGAGCTCGCTAAGCAGGCAGGCTTAGAAAGGTCCCCCGCCCCTCCCTGGGCCTTCCCATGCTCTCAGCCGCCATCACGCTTTCAATACATGAGCTACCCAGCTTTCCCTCAAATCTCACTCCTCAACTCATCTTGGCAAATCACTGTGTTTACTCAATGTAGTTATCCAGCTTCACTGATAATAGAGCACTGAGACTCAGTGTTCCAATTTATTAGGTGACGACCCAGACACAGAAGAATAACAGGCATTCCT